CTTCACGCCTTGCTTGTTCAGGAAATTCATTTGTAACTTTTCACGAATGACTTGTCTTATACCGTTGTCCCTATGAAAACTTTAATTACCGGCTCGCCTTTTTCAATACTCGAAATGTCATAGGAGATTGTTAATTTGAAAGCGCACGTCGCTACAGCTTGTTGCGAAATACAGTGCTGATGTACTGCTCTGCAATACACGCAGATATGCCCCAGTGACGTCTAGGTGCTCTATGAGTAACTTTTCCAATCTCCTTGCATCGCATAGAGTATAAGCTCTCAAGTTGGAGTTTCAGTAAGACGTTTCTAACCGTTCTTCTCTAAGAAATGTCGCACGTGTGTCACGATACACTTCTGTGAGAAACGTCTGTCAGATGGAGACATGACAAACTTGCAGAAATGGTACATAAACTCAGCAACGCTCGGCACGAACGACAAGATCTTTCCAATTATATATTTTTCTTTCTTGACGACGTGATGGTCTTGCGAGTAACGGAATAATAATAAATCAAGCAAAGGAGTCTCCGTTGCTCAAGGAAAATCGAGCCCTCTCTCGGTCCCGCCCAGAGCCCATTGTGTTAGTGTGAAGAATTGTTTAGCTCATTAAAAATGGAAATCAGCATTGGAACGATGAAGAAGTGAAAACAAAACACAGAAACAATGCTATTGTGGTTGAAAAAAAGGTGAGCGAAACAAAAATATGAATCAAAGTGAGAGGTTCCACGAATGTAATTAACGCCTATCTCGACGCCATCAGTGTCATCTAAAGTGTGCCTGTCATGCGGCTGTTGCGTGCAAGCGTGGCATGCCTAGTGTGGATGTCCACGCAAAAGAGGTTCACATAATGTGGGGTTAGAAGACGTGTGGTCTCACACGTGTCCACGCAGCGTTTTCTCCTTTCTGAGCACCAGCTCCAGGGGTATTATGGGATCAGGGTTATCCGTGGCAAAATAAGAGTGACAGTTCAGTAAATCATGATCATGAAAAATTGTACTCCAAAGAGTTGTCGTAGTGGGAGGAAAAGAAGCATTTTCTGCGGGTATTTTTTACCATGATAGGAGAATAAGAGAATGTCCATATGGCGTAATATGTCAAACTGACGTGTGCGTGGAATTCCACACAAAGAGTTTACATCCGTCGCAAAGTTCGTTAACGCGTGGACTCCGAGTTTTGACCGACCTGCATTTTCCTACTTTGACCTCTGATAACAAGATCTTGAAGCTGTGCAGGCGCGACGTGGCTGCGCTATTTTTGGGTACGACAATGTTTATTTTTAAACGGCCTTTGTCTCTATTCTTGAAGTTCAATAGAGGCAGTATGACTTAACCGTGTAAAGTGACTCAGGAAGTGTTCAGTCTCCCGAGATCCGTGTTTCAATTAATTTTATCGCCGTTTCTATATGTACCAACGCTACAAAGGGGAAAATGGCTGACGCATTAGCTGCTGTAGGATACTATATTCACCTGGTGTGGCAATTTTTCACGCTGCGAAATGTAGTGCTGTACTCGGTCCTGTTGATGCTGGTCAGGTACACCTACAACCGGCTGACGGCTAAGAACCTGCCACCGGGGCCCTGGGGCCTGCCCCTCATCGGGGCCAACTTCCGGCTGGGTTACAAGAACCCGGCCCAGGCGCTGCTGCGGATCAGCCAGCAGTACGGCCGCATCTTCAGCATCCGCTTTGGGCCACAGCTGGTGGTGGTGCTGAACGACGTGGAGCTGGCCAAGGAGGCCTTTGTGAAGAACGCCGAGGTGTGCAGCGGCCGGCCCCACCCGACGGACATCGGCTTCTCGCTCAGGAAAATGCCAGGTCAGTGATCAGGATATCTTCTAATGAAGGAAAACATATTTTTCTTTTGTTAAACAAAAGGAGAACCCGGAACAAAAATACGCCTACTTATCAAATCTTTAATTTTGAAGTACATGCCCGACATTCAGGAAGTGATATAGTTTATCCGGCGTATCAGTTAAAAATTACAACCAAACTTCACAACCACTTGATTAAAAATGATTACAAGTGGTATATTTTTTTGCTCCTATCCCTCGCAATCAGTTTTCAGAAGGGTGACATAGTGCAGCTTTCTATAAATCACACTGCTGTGTCATGGAATTTTCAGAAGCTCCACAGCGATCAACACCAACGCGAACATGGAAATACACGGGCTTTTGCCGTTGCCTTACGGCACTCTGGATCGCATCCAGCATTATGTAGGTCCCATCATTTGCAATGAATGCCACTCTTGATGGATGGACCCAAAGGAAATAAACTTGAAGCAATTTCATGCTGTAAGCCTAGTGCTGAAATGGACGGGCGTATCAGAGCAGCACGTCCATTTGCAATGATCTCTGGTAGCCAAGGGTGACACATTTATTTTTAGCCTTATTCTATTTTTACGAGATAACCTGTGGTCATTTAGAGGACTTCTTAAAGCATAGGCTCACTGTGAAAAATAGTCGTTGATGCACGGGTGTAAACTTTTTTGTTTGAATTTTGTGGTTTCATTTGCCAACTGATACTTGACTAAGTTCAACTGTGGACGATCTGTATTCTTGCAAGTTGTGCAGGTTCATTTCAGTCAATGTCTTATCTCAGCATATACAGAGCAGCGATAAATTCAGGTATACCTTCTGTAATACACCAACACAAGGCCTAGTATCGGCTGTTATAGTGTGGTATTTACCGCCCCCAAATTATGTAAACTGAGCTTATACGCTAACGTTTGAATGCCAGTGATGGCATATGACATTCCAACATCAGCATAAGCCGTATTTCAAAACAGTGGCTGGTTTGCTTACTATGACTTTTTTGTGACTCATAGCCCAGCTGATCCGTTCCGAGGGCCAAGACTGGAAGGACCTGCGCAGCTTCACCCTCAAGGCGCTGCGCCACTTTGGCGTGGGCACCAAGGAGATCGAGAACGTCATTGAGGAAGAGGCGCAGCAGCTCTGCGGCGCCCTGGAGAAGGAAATAGCGACGGGCGACGGCACAGTGGACCCCCGCCGCCTCCTCAACATGGCCGTGGCCAACATAATCTGCTCCTTCACCTTTGGCAACCGGATGGAGTACTCCTCGCCCGAGTTCCTCAAGATCGTGGAAAGCATCCGCGAGGTCTCCGCCGACACCTCGCTGACTAACCTGATGCAGGTCTGGCCACTGCTGATCCTGACGCCGCCCTACAGCGCCGTCCGGCGGGGGATTATGACCTTCCGGCGGATGGCCCAGAAGGTCATCGACCAGCACAAGGAGACCTACGACGCCAACGACATGCGGGACATCCTGGACATGATGATCGCTGAGGTCAAGAAAGGTAAGGATGCCAAGATCCCCGTCAACGAAACCTACCTATGGATGAACATTGGAGAGCTGTTTGGTGCTGGCGCGGACACCACCATCAACTCGCTCATGTGGGCTGTGTTTGAGATGACCATGAGACAAGACGTACAGAACAAGGTTTGTGTTTCAAAGTTTGAACCTACCGTTCAACAACGCAATTATATTTCAATCCTCCCAAGGTGGCTATGTGGAATGGTGAACTGCCTAAATAGGGGATAGGCGCGGGAAATTCTGAAAGCTTATTTCTATAATTTGCATAAAGATATATCAGTCACAGAAACTCCAAGCCTTGGCTGTTGTATGTAGTAATAACTATTCTCTAGATTGAAAAAGAATGCAAAATGTGACGTTATTTCCATTTATGTACAAGGTGCTGGCGGATCTGGGACAGTACTGCCAATCCCCGGATTTTCCTTGTTGATATTAAATTCTGTATTTAGAAAAAAAAAACCAATATACTTGTCAAACATTCTAGAAAGCAATATGTTTAAAACCTCCGAACTGGTATTGTCGATGAGGAAATGATACATTTAATTCATGATTCCTGTGTTTAAAGACCTTTTACATCATGACGTCACGCCTTGTATAGTCTTTCCTATGGCAGTGAGATCCATTGAGTCATAGGAGAACGCACATAAAAGTAAACACAAAGTGTGACGTCATTGTGTTTCAGGTCTATTATTCGCAATGTTAGATATTAGACCTTCATGTAGCCTATACGAAACAGTTCAGTTCCTCCATGCGCAAGTTATAGCGATGTGGTCGAGTCTGTCAAAGGTCTAAATGAATCCTCTACCAGCCGTCTCCTGAGTTTCAACTCAGGACACAAGATATATTTCAATTAACTGTTACTTGTAATTAATGTGAATGATGGACTCGACCACAACTACGTTAAAATATCAGCAAAAATACCTCTAAGATTACTGTATTTCTGAGCTTTAATTTTTGGTTCTTCCATTTCCTTTTTGCCTCGGGGTAAATTTGGCCTCCTCCTGGGTTCCATTCGAGTTTGACCTTACCATAATTCTGTTTAGCCTAAATGCTTGTATGAGTTAAATTCTTTTGGTTTTGTGTGAACAGAAATAGTTGCATATTAATGTTTCAGGTGCGGAAAGAAATCCATGATGTGATTGGAACTCACCGGCCGCCGAGGATGTCCGACCGGGGCAGTCTGACCTTCACCCAGGCGGCCCTGATGGAGTCGTTCCGCCTGCGGCACCCGGGGCCAACCGGCTCTCTGCACCGCACCACAGCGCCCATGCACATCGCCGGCTACACGATACCGGAGAACACGTTCGTGACCAGTCCGCAGTGGAGCATGCACCGGGACCCGCGCGAGTTCAAGAGCCCCTACGAGTACGATCCGGACAATTTCCTGAACGAGGAAGGCCACTTCACTGAGCCGAAAGGGTTCATGCCTTTCGGTGTCGGTAAGTTGACTGCAGGGTTCACTGCCAGAGAATTCTCGTTTTCGGTTGGCGAAAAAAGTAGACCTGCCGGCCGTATTTAAATCATTTCCAGAGCACTGCACAGTTACCTGGCTACGGCTCGAATTATTACGTTAGCATATGGAAGCTGGAAACTAGCGGCTGCAGAAATCTGCCATACACTTGTGAATAATTGACAGCCGTAGCTAAGTGCATCGGACACGGCTTAAACGTACGCTCTGTCGCCACTAAGTAAGATGTGTGCTGCCACCAAGAGTCTTTGAGGGGTAGCGTTTCGACAATGGGGCAAAAGTCCAGCTCCATGTAAGGAGCGTTGTAGCGAGAAAGATGCGAGAGATGAGAAAGTGACTAAAACATGTGTATTATTTATTGCTATTTTATAAGTTTCTTTACTGTTCGTGTCACTTGGCAGTTTTGCAATTGCCACTTAAACCCAAGCACTGTGTCGTGCTTCACATGTTGTACATCAACTCCACATCAGTTATCAAACTTTCCTCCTTCAAAATTGAATTCATACATTTTGGAATACATGTTTTTAACAAGTTACATGTTCAGAACTTGGAGATTTTGTGCGATGTAACTAAAACTTTCCAATCTGAGTTACCATTTTGCGTTCTCCTAACTACAGGTCCTCGAGTCTGCATCGGCGAGTCCCTGGCCCGCACTGAACTCTTTGTCTTTTTCACCACCCTCATGCAGCGGTTCAAGTTTGAGTTGGCTCCCGGACAGGTCATCCAGGACAACGGCCACGGTCACTTTGGGGCCACCTATACTCCTAAGCCCTTTAAAGTTCGTCTGACCTCTGTGCCACATTAAGAAATAACGATTTGTTTTAGGCCCAGATCGCTATGTGGTGATGTGGTTGTTGCGATTTTGGTTATTCTTTAAGCCTAATTTCTCAGAATGATCGAAACCATTTCCATCAGCACGCAAGATGTCAAGACGCAGACAGTCGCGAAACGGTTTGTGACGTCATTCGACCAAAAATGTAGATAGAAATTGGCGTCGTAAACTCAGAAAAAAAATTGGTATGAAATACCCGGTTAAACCATTTCGTTTAGCTGAACTGGTATCGCAAATCGATTTATTTTGTTGGTGGTTGGCTGTGTTGTTCAAAACCAAAACCTCTGTACTGATGAAGCCACACTTTGTTGACGTGTGTGCTTGGAGCGCATGGATTGCTGGCCCCGCTGGCTTTATAAGAAAGTGCACATGTTGCAAAGAGTGACGTCATTAGTACACATGTCTACGTGGATTGCATGTCTTATTCATCATAACAGGAGAAATTAATTTGTTTATTGACGAGAAAAAATTGTGGCACTTAAGAGAGAGAGACATCGTTGCAAGCCCATCATTCCTGCGCGCATGTGTTTGTATTAATCTATTCTTTAGGACTCAACGCAAAAAGTTAAACATGATTCTACTCTGCCAACTGTGTGAGCCCTCGTTTGTGTCGGTCGCGATGGTGTTACCATTATGATTGCGTACCGAAGGGGACTATTCGGTGTCAGCGTCACTCTGTCTCCACACTATGTCTCAAGGACAACTGCTCATTCAGAGATTAACGTATGAAATACTGCAGTGGTTCTTAACTGCAAGGGATGACAGACAATAGCAGATTGTTCGCCGCGTATTTTTCCCTCAATTCCCCTCATTTTAAAAGTCCTCCTTTACTGATAGTGTACTTTGAACCCATGTCATGAGGCCGTCGAGCGAAATGAAGGATTGCCATGGTAACGGCTAAGGTTGTCCATTGACTTTACTGACGTGAACTGAGATTGTCTTGTTCGGAATTAATCGCATCAGTGAGCATCACAAAAGGCGCAGATTCCGGGGAACAAAATTGAATGAATTCCCTGCCAATTATGGATTTTGGCTCCGGCAATCGATTTTCAACTAAGAAATTTGGAAGTTTATTAGAAAGCTGATGAGACGGTTGGCAAATACGCAGAGACTTACAAAAATTGTGGCCAAACTATTGTGTTACATATTGCCACAACTACTCCAGTTTAATAATACTAATTATAACAGCAGGCGTTTCAATTAATTAAAGAAATTGAAATCAGGGCCTGTCGGGCTTTATTGCCATGTCAGTACTGCGAAAATGAGTAATTTTTACACAAAAACACAAATATTTTTGCCATTCCATACTTAAACCGTATAACTGACTTCTCCTTTAACAGCAAGTACTCTGGTACTCGTCATCTCCTCTGTATAAGGTCACCTGTCCATCAAGTTTGGGTTTAATCAAACACATATGGCAGCTTTAATAACGAGCGTTTGTTTGTCAAAGGTCGTTCAGCAGGCTGTGCTGAAGTCAAGACAACGACACGTTGTGATGTTTATTACCCCCTTCCACTATGAAGCCGTGATAAACCTGTTCGTCTGAATGCGTATAAAGGTAGCTTTTCCTGAAAATGTAACAGATCTGCATTAAAAGTCATTCTACCAATGAAGTCCTTTTTAAATTAAATTTAACAGGTGATACTCATTCAATTCACTATGCCGCAGTGAGAGCACTGAGTACTTAAAATGCAGTTTTTAATCAACGCCCTCATGGTTTGGAGTGTTAACTCCTTAAATAACATCCACTCACTGGTCTTGAATGCTTGATGGGGAAGGTTAAAAGATGTCTACTATAGAAATCAGCGCATGAAAATAAGCTGAGACATTGAAGGCAGCAATTTTGCTCAACAGGTCGTGCAGCGCGGCGCGTCTCGCGGTCAGATCTGAAGTGGGTTGTTATGACAGCGATCTAGGGTGATGAACTCATAAAACTATAGCGACACCTTTTCAGTGGAGTCTTGAACTTCATCTGTTTAGTGAATTTCAACCTCAGCGATCCTGACTTGAAATACTAACTAAGAGTAAGTGCCTTTACAAGGCCATTAAACGCCTTCTGTCACTGATTCAACGTATAAAATTATAATTTATGTATTGAGGAAATGGCCAATGAGGAAATATCAGGGTCAGTCACAATGTATAAACTGAAACCGTGTTTGAAATTTCGAACCTGCCTTGTTTCGCTACAGAGGTAATTCAATAAATTGTCCCAGTTCTGAATCAATGAATTATGTTGTTTCATTTGTTATGCACCAAACATCAATCAAACTTCTAAACTAGGTATACTATTGTAATAAAGGAAATTGGTTTTTGGATGTAGAAGTGGCGTTAATACTAGAGTACAAAGAGTCGTCTCGCCATGTTGCCTAAGTCATTGGCGCGTGCAAAGTAACATAACAGCCTAAATTGTCCAGTCTGCAGGGGGGAAAGGCATACACTACGAGTCATGGTGAAAATGGTAACTGAAGGAAAATAAATGGCCATTAGTGTCATATACCTCCCCTCCCCAGGAAATATAAAAACAAAACAAAGCAAAAAGGAAAAAGACAGACTGGGAAAGGGAATGAAATTACCACATTTAATTGAAAACCTCGAAATTGGCCCAGGTTCCACTGTTCATGGTTTTATCAATACGTTGCTGGTGACTGATTCACCCCTCCCCAGAAAAAAGTCCTTTAACCGTGGGGGAAAAATCTTATTTACAGTTAAGGTAAATGGTCCAACAAAAGATACGCATAAAATTACACGAACAGTAATTTCATCTCGTGACATCGATATTGTGGCCAAGAGAGACCCTGGAACGAAGGGGAAAATGGCGCAGACACCACGGTCTAATTATGCACAATGCCCTTGTTAACGTCCCTAGCTAGTGCTTCTCAGTAGCTCGTCTGTCATATTTGCAAAAACCATTAAATATTATGGACTGAAAACGTCGCCACGGGCTGTCTTCTTCCCGTTTGGAAGCTCAGTGAGAGATAATGGCACAAGGGTGTAATGGAAAATTCTGATCAAACACTGCGCCAACGGAAGTTGATGTCAACACGATATGATGACTGAACTAGCACTTTTTTGTTGTCAGATTGAGTTAAAACATACTTGTCATCTTTAAAGATTCGAAACTCTTTGCAGTGCCTGTCGATTTTTTTTATTTTTTTGTTTTATTTGGGTCTGTTTGGCCATTGTGTGTGCTATTCGTTAATTCAACAGTATTTGCTAACTTGTAGATGATCATTGTCCCAATTCAATCTGATTCTAAATTGTTTCTATGCCATACATATTTTATTATACTTTCTTTTATTATTATAGTAATGCAAACCTTGGTATTTATCACCCAAAGTGTGAAGTCATCGATGCAGAAACCTCAATGTTACAGCCATTTCTGACTATTTTGCTGTCTTTTTTTACTTTGGTCATAGGTTGTTTTAGATCATGATGGTAGGCCAAGAGTGTTCTCACAAGACGGGCGATTCACAATAGCGCTCTTCCAAGAGTTTGCAATGCATTGACCAATCACAGTGCCCAAAATCTGTCCACACTCTCCAAACGCGCATTGGGTCGACAGTTGTTGCGCACTGAGATTGGTCAACGCGTTGCATACTCTTGGTGGCGCGCTATTGTGAAACGCCCGTGTTTTTATGGTGGACGGAAAAGGACAACACGTCGAACGACGTGTGTCATATGCATAATTATGCCTAGAAAGCTGACAATACGTATTTTATGCGTCCTGATCATAATATGCATGACGCACGTCGTTGTACCTGTGCCTCCTTTTCCGTCTACCCATTTTTATGAGCAGATAGTATCAATTTCAATACAGAACCCCCGATTGTCTTCCTGCAAAGACCTCACAGAAATAGTGCCTATAAGTTCATTATGTTAGGCATGGGAAATTTGGCAAAGTTTGAAAAGTGCATGTTCCAATGAGAGTAACCTAAATCAGTTATCCTACTTCTTACATTTAACAAGAGTAGAAACTCAAAAAAATCCCTTGTAAAATGCACACATTGGACCCTTTAATAAGCTAGTGCAGATTTAAAAGATACGTTATGACAGGCCCTATCAAGAGAGTTTAGTGTGAATGTCTGGAAACGTTTCTTTTTGGTTAATAAATTACAGAACGCTCCTCAGTGAGAAAAAAAGAATAAGACAGTCTCCTATCTAAGATTATCGCTGCTGCAGTGCAAATTGGGGCTTTCGTCAGGGGAAAATTTAAAGCTGTGTGCACGCAGCGCCACACACGCTTTTAAGGAGACAACTTATCTACGTGTATAGTCGTCGTGACAGGCGTAGGTAAAGGCTCTAGATTGTGAAGTGTTCTTGATACACTCTTTGCAGCTCTCATAATGCTTTGTGCTGTTGTTGATGAGATGTCAAGCACATCAAAGACACTGCTCAGTTTGTGGGGTTTTTCTGATCAGATTTTGCCTTGAAAACATTTTCGGGTAAACGTCGGTTCATACTTAGCGCGAAAGCGAAAATTAACTCGAATTTGTCAGGGCAGCTCAAATATTCAAGGTGCAAATTCGAGAAAGTTGAACACATCTCAACTCACGCGAAATTTCGCTGGAAATGTTTCGTGACGTTACATTCGCTTCGCGTTTGCGTTCGCCTGAAGTATCAAGTGGCCTCATATGGTTGCTCACTGCTTCAGTATTGTAGCGGAAAGTGTACAGACTTTTGTAACTTTTGTTGTGCATAATAATGAGGACTAATGTAGTGTGTACACGCCCGTCCTGTGACGTCAGGATGGGCGGAGCGTAGCGCTCTGTGTAGGCACGGACGTGTATAATAAAATCTGGACTCGCAATGCCCTTAATCAGCTTATAGAGTCATTGAATCCACTGGCAGCCATTTTACCGAGTTGAATACAAAGCTTGCCTGGTAATGCCCGCCTTTGTTCTTCCTGACGTCAATAGTAGGGAGCCAACCCACGCCTTTGTATTCGGCTCGGTAAAATGGCCGCTGGTTGGCTTCTTTTTCATACAAAGGCGTTGCTAGTCCAGGTTTTTTTTATATACGTCCGTGTGTGTAGGTAGTAAGCTCTTTGGTTTGCGTTTGATCAAGGCGAGCGCGTAAGGGGGCGGAGCTTACTCCTTTTAAAGATTCTGCTGGTTCAGCGAAGATGTGTGGTGCTCTCGCTGTGGCGTGTTGCTATAGGGCGTTGCATATCAGACTGTCTCCGTGTAGCATTACGCAGGTCAGGTGTCCTTGTTTTATTATTGTCTAATTGGCAGAGAGCATCACAGTCATCATAATCGGCTGTATATTTCCACCCAAACGGATCTGATCCCTTAGCCTTAAGGTCGCTTTGAGTGATCTCTGGACCGGGGAGGAACCTGAGTTTTAGGCTGGAGTCAAAAGCCCAACCGGTTTCAGACTTGATCCTCAAACTTACGTTACGTTTTTAAACAACCACACCGCCACAGTATCATGTACTTACACAACGATCGAAGCACCCAAGTAGATGCAAAGGAAACTTTAAAAAAGCAAATACTCAATAATTCCAGCAATTTTTGTGCACCAGTCAATGCATGATTGGGGTTTTCTCCCCGGAATGACATCACAGTTTGGCTCATGAATATTTGAATTCTCAGCATAAAAACCAATAAGGCAGCAGAAACCTAAGGAACGACAAATACATTTTAAAATAAATATGAAATAAGATTAATTGAAAAACAAAGACATTGATGTAGAAAATTGTATGCAAAGACCCAATGTAGATACCTCTCAGGAGCCACTCAGAGAGTGAGTTAATTAAAAGGTGATTTTGATATCAATCATAATCGTTAAGGTTTGATGTAAGCAAGGAACGTTTGACCATGTGGGATTGCCAAAATGGCACGTCGTACTATTAAACTATTGGTTGTTTTGATGAAACTCCAATTCATTTTCATTATGACCAGTTGTAAATAAGGGATGTATATCCAATCAAATAGTAAATGAAATTTAATAATTCAAGATCAAAACGTGTTTTCGAAAAACGTATAACTGACTCAAGGTCTGATGAACGGCAGAGAACGAATTGCATGCATGATGAGGCTTACAGCAGTACTATACGCAGATCATGGCAACATTTTGGTATCTATGAATTAAGAAAATCACGATGAGTGCCTGATCGGGAGTCAGAGTTATCTCTTGAACAATTGCTGCAGTATTTGCTTGGCGAGCTTTCTGAAAGTTCCATTCATGAGTATGTATATAATGAAGTTCCAGAAACTGTTGCTGACGATAAGCCACGCGCAGACGAACTCCAGCGCCGGTGGCAGCGGGGTCCGAGGGTGGAGATCGGCGTATATCCTGGCCGCCGAGAACGGGAGGAAGCAGACCGTGTACACCACCACCACGACGCAGAAGAGCCGCACGGCCTTGCCGCTGCCGGCTTTAGCCGAATTTCCTTCCTTACGGGAGGTTGTGTTGATGGTGTTAATCTTGCTGGCCTGTTGGTTGCTGGTGTGGATGAGCTTGGCATAGATTCCCATCATTGTGGCTATGGGAAAGATTAAAGTCAGACAGAGAAAATTTACATCCAGTGGGAGGGCTTCTTCGCCGGTCTCCATGAGGCACATGACGGCGGCCCGGTTATATCGCACCGTAGGTCGCACGGTGGCCATTACAATCGCTACAGCAGCGGTCAAGCCTATCCACTGGAATAACGTCAAACATAAGACTCGGTTTCTGGACATTAGCGTGGGATATGAGAACGGTTTCGTAACGGCAACCAGGCGATCAAGTGTGAGACTCATGAGATTTACGATCGAGATGCTACTCGCCAAGGTCGCAGCTGAGCACACCAGCGTGCAGGCGAGGTCCCCGAAGGGCCAGCTGTCCATGACGGAGAGGGGAACGCAAAGCGTGGTCATCGCCCCAACTGTTAGGTCCGACAGGGCGAGGGAGGACATGACGAGCTTGGTGGAGCCGGGCGGGAAGTCTCCCCTTGCGCGCCACATCACGGCCAGTGTCAGGACGTTCGCTAGGATAATTACCAGGCTGGTCAGGGCTATGTAGGCTGTCCGCAAAGCGATCAAAGCCGGGCTAAGTTGGTATATATCGTCAACCACCGTCGGCAAAGTCTCGTTCACAAGTGGGCTCATATCACTGATGCCATGAAAGTGTTCCATGTGTAAACCTGTTGCGCGTATTCCTCGTAACTCCCACTGGCGAACGCAATTGCAAGCGCAATGCTGACGCCGCTCTTTAATATATTCGCCGGATCACATACACTCGTGTCCGTATATTCGAGTGCTTATTACCTGTCCAGCTCAGCGACGTAGCATATAGCTCGGCTTGAACACCCACTTCGCGAACACTCGATCACAATCCATCAATTATAAGGTCGGAGGCTTGCGGTTTTATTTTGTTCTACGTGGTCTTGGCTTTGAACTGTGCACAGAATTGGATCGTTGTATACACCGATTGCGCCAAGTCACGTGACCTATAGTGGTATCAAACATCCATAGCAAGTGTGTTGATTACAGAAGCGTGGCTAAAGGGGGGGGGCAGAGGCGTACCCCCCATGAAAAATCGTCGCCCCCAGTCGCCCCTACTTGATGTGATCACGATTAAACATGTATCATTATGTCCAACATCCAGTCAGCCCCCCCCCCATTTGTAAGTAAAGCCCCCCCCCACTCACTGTCCGTGCTCAGAATCCTGGCTTTACTGCTGGTTGTCATTTACCAAAAATGAAGCTGACTTTGACAAGACCCTTACCACATCGGTATAGTCTTTGTATTGTAGCGACTGTCGCCTTTATTTTTGATGAATAATATTTATGACACACCGCTATATTATTGGGAGGACCCTTGTTGATGTTACCGAGGCTATCGCGTACAGGTCTATGGTTGTAGTCTCAGCTTCTGAAATTACTTCAGGAAAGCTTACAATTTGGACTTAATAATATCTGAAACCCTGAGCAACTTCAGTGTCTTTGACACTCACAAAAAGTCTGGCGCGACCCGCTCTTGACCAGACTAAAGGAAGAAAGCTTTTTTTATGACTTTGAGTAATGAAGCACAACTTTATTTACACGCCATGCTACGATAGACTTCCCCCTCTTTTATAGCAATAAATGGGGAAAAAATCAACATTTTAGATTTCATGCTAATGACGAATCCGTATTCCTGAGCCAAACACGTCATCCACTGCAAAACAACATGGTCTCCCGTAGCGTTGTATACAATTATGTATCGCACTTTTCTACGTTCTTGGGGTAGGTTCGACTTTAACCTTGCTTTTCATGTTAAATAGCTGATTTGGACAACAGTAGTGGCCAATATTTTTACAAAACATAATTGAGTGATTTTGAAGGATTGATTTTTGTGTAATGCTCTTATGCTCTTTGGAACAGGAGTGCCTTGTATAATGACCAGAACTGTATAGCCTAGGCCTATATGTAAATAGTGAGTAGCGCAAACTTCAGAATATGGAACCAAAATGGCCGTTCATTATGCGCAGTGCATAATGTACAAAGATCTACTCATCTAAAAAGCCGCTGACGGTCTATCGGGAGAGATCTTTAAAATATGGTGGTCACGCTGTCCTCGTCTCCGTTTAGTTCATAATAAAGCCTCGGAGTCGGATGCCGAGGTCCTCCCACAATATAATGGAATGACTGGCTTTGGTCAAGGAATATGGAAATATTCATTAGCATAGAAACAAACAAGGCGGGCTCCGTGGCGCTTATGATCTCAAGTGTGCAGCAGCCTGATCGCTTTATTAATTAAGTAAACAAGAGGCTTCACAAATACTTGTCAACTGGTTGCGTTGGCCAACGAGAAAAGGAAAAGAGAATGGCGTCCAAGTGAGGGCGCTTTTTACCGCTCTCGCTCAAAATGTTACTAAACTCGCGCTGCATCGAAAACCCATTTTCAGAATGGCGGACCATAGACCGTACCCGGAGGAGAAAAAACATGGGCGGACCGCGCCGGCTACGGACAGACACACTGCAAACAACACGGGTGGCACACGTGTGTAGTATACTGAGCGCACGGTGGTCGCTTTAAATGAGCTCAATCCGTTTATTTTCGCGACTTTGTTTATCAACTATCATCACGACAACACGTAAGAAATTAGAGGAATCGCTGGCACACCTACATGTGCGTGATATGGAGTAAGTACAATGGATTTTGCTTTGATATTCCACACTTGTCCTTTCTTTACAGGAATAAAATTCATAGGGTTAGTCATTGAGCATGTTGAGACCACAAAGAAAGGAAGAGACCATATTATGTTCTAGTAGTAGGAGTAGGACTAGGATCAACACAAAGGCATGACTACACTACATGTACATGGCCCATTTCTCTGAAAATGACACAAGTATTTAGGAGGCCTATGCCCACTTAAATTTTGCACACATCTTGCAAATTGTTTGCCCCTCCCAAGCAAGTCGTTTGGTGTGATGTAGCTCCACTGAGTGGAGTGTTAGTATACCTCTTTTTCAATTTTTGACGTCCAAATTCGAGACAGAGGAACGGGGTAAAGGTTGGGGTATTCGATCACATAAGAAAAGCAAGAAATTCGACCAGCTGTGTAGTTTTTGAATGCATTTGGTCAAATTTTCCTCCTGGTCGAAAATTCCCGCACTCACCCTACTAACGTTCTACTCAGAGCTAGCTACATGTAGCTAGGTGTGATGATGTGCTCACGTGCAGCTGTAATATGAGGCCATCCCGTATGATATAAGCCCAACAAGCCCAACTTCACTTTGGCATGCTGTGCATATTTGAATTTTTAAAATGGTATTTGACCCGACTGCTTCGGTCATGTCAGGATGATGTAGATCAGTTAATAGCCTGAGCAACTCAGACTCTACAAATTGCCTTTTTAAAGATTTGGATGTGGTCCGGCGAAACATGGCAATGTAAACACACTGTATACTCATCAGTGTGAAGTCGCCAACTTGGTCTGGAATCAACTTGCTCTGAGTCAACTCCGTCTGAGGTCAACTTGGTCCCAAGTCAACTCGGTCTCGTCAGCTCTGGAAGGCAGGCACATGGCTGCAGCATGAAAAAATTCTTCCGAGCTAGTTTTGACACACTTTAGCGTACCTGTACTTGTCCATGTATTGCATGGACACTTTATTTACACATATTCCTAAACTGACATGTGCTTGAGATGCCTGGCCTTATAATTTGGGAAGGCCAGGCACTTGGATGCATCATTAATTACCATGATAAGAAGGCAAAATCCCAATCTTTCTTGCCAGCTTGACAAACTTGGGCATATCAGTATTTCCAGAAATCTCACATTGCATGTACATTTATTTTATTAAGCCTGACACAAAAGTCTCCTCTTTGTTCTTCTCAAGAAGCGGGCTCAAGAGAGACTCAAGTTCCAGTGAGGACCCAAGTGACAGCCACTCTGACCAGCTGACAGTGATGAGAAGCAAGAATAGTGGATAGATAAAATAGCAGGTAGAAAAGCTGTCACTTGTCATATTTGCCATCTGTGAAGAAATCAATTTTTGTAGGTGCATGTAGATTTGGCCCTACTTTCCTTCTCAGTACAAATATTGAAGTTTTATCTCAATCTGTCATATGGTTTGACAGTCACTTGGAAGTTGGGAATGGCAAGTTGGTCTGAGCAAAAGTCCTGGAAATCAAGTTTGTACAAGGGTGATTTTGATGGTGGTTATGGATAGTGGCTATGGCAGTCTTCCCGTTTATTATACCAAACAAATTTTCTGTGCAGAGTGGCATTAAATGCCATCGAAATTGTCATATTTTAGTTCTGGAAAGTGCAGGAAAGGTCACTGAATTTGATTTTCAGATTTCGTTGGAACCTTGCTTGTAACAATCAGGGCCCAATTTCTTGGCGCTGCTTAACTTACAGAGGCTCTGCGTATTTCATGCATACCGTGAACAGTAAGTACAGTCAAATGCATCCTAACCTTGGAGGAAAGATTTGCTGACACTTTGTGATGTAACAGAAATCTCTATCTGCGCGTAACCGTTAGCACAACCACCCCGAGAACCACCACGAAATAGTGCTCAAGGTTAGCACATTTTTCTGCTAAAGTTAGCACGATTTTTCCGCTGACTGTGTTCAGAAGCCCCGTGATATTGGGCCCTGACCCCACCCAGCCTGTCACTCCCTGCACTCCCCAGTACTGTATGATTTTATGGATTTAACAGCCACCCACAATATGAGTCTATGTGGTGATAGGTTGAAACATGGGTGTTTTGCTCATTTGGGGAAAAAGTATTAATACAGTGTCACTGAAAAACCTTAGGTGACCTTTTCTTGTTGTTTTTTGTCATTTTTCCCTGTGGTTAGATTTTGGAAAGCCACATTGCCAGCATGGCCAGGTGTATGTACTGATATGGCTGCCTACAGGAACGTTGAGGCTGGCTAGCGTCATGGTGCGAGTGGACTGACCGTTGAAATCTCCAAAGTGAATAGGTGGGTTACGTCATAAGTAGCACAGGTAAGAGTCCTGTGTTTCGTATCGTTGCTGGCTTTCTGCAAGGACGAATCCGGGAAAGGGGGGAGGGGCCAATTGGGGTCACGACCAAAAAAGGAGCAAAAATTGTTTTCATTTGAAAAAAATGAAAGGATCTTTTTGGTCTGTGTATTTTCCCTTCTTTTGAAAAGTGGAAATGTAACCTAACCCCTCAAATAACTTTAAAAATAAAAAACTGGCCCCCAGAATCAAGTTTGTCCCCCCTCCCCCCAAAAATTGGGTTTTGGATCCACCCTGCTTTTGGCTAGCTTTTAGGGCAACCCTGACATAGGAATGGTTCTGTGCATTGTGTCAACCAAGCAAGACGATAGGGATGAGGTTAAGCCCTTGTTGAACTAAAGCAAGCTAGTTGAATGCACCCACTATACTGGAATTGTTCACATTTTCCTGGCCTAAAGTTCCTTTTCCTTCATGGTTCGTTGCTGTTTCATGACAAATGACCTTTGATCAATGGTCCACATTTCCTGAGACATGTTCAACCTGTCAAGGAGCAATTTGGGTTTCAGTTTTTGATAGTAAAGCTCATGAAATGAAGCGTCTAATCATAGACATAAAATACCTTTAGATCGACAACAGCAGGGGCATAATTTAAGGAAAGTCTCTATTTTTAATAACCACAAGCAAACGGCTGCCTTGTCCCCTGGGGTTTCATGATTTGCTGTGCAGCACTGCTCTACATCAAGAAAATGAATTGGGGGCAATTGTCCATCAAATATTATTTGGCCCTGTTGGTCTTTTTATTAAAATTCTAACCCAGCACAGTTCAATTTTTCTTCCTCATAATATTGCCCAATAATTATTACGAGTCATTAGTAGAAGCCAAGGTGCACATTATGCAAAATTCAAATAAATTCCTGACATCCCTGTTATTTAGTATTTTGAAAAGCAAATTCAACATATTTTCTCAAGTTTTATCTGATACAGAACTGAGAACTGTGTTTCCAAAACATTTCAAAAATAAAGTCTAAAAATTGAAATCAAATACATTATGGGAATTTGTTCAGGCTTTTTGAAGCTGAGCAAAAAATATGGACAAAAATGTAGGTGTTCAGAGTTCTTATTTAAAGAAGGATCTACCTTAATTTTGATAAATATTGAATCAAAACACAAAAAAAGAACCACGTTGTAAACACTTAACAGTATTTTCAGTCACCATCCAAAATTTCCAATTTGTATCCAACTCTACAGACTTGTGCACACTCTTTGAATATTGCTGCCCACGCTTTCGGGATCTGTTGTTGATTTCTGTAGGAGCTGTTGGTCCATAGATATTGTAGGTTCGATGTCTTCCCTGATTGACGTTACAGTATTGCTGTAAAACAGCGCCCTCTACTTGTCAGGAAAAGGGAAAGACAATTTTAAGTGTTTAATAATGTCACTTTTTTGATTTACTAAACCCTAAAGGGGTGTCTGGAAAAATGTTTTTAACAAAGAGTACAAATCACTTTCAGACTTTCAGAATGGGTCAGCGGTGTCAAAGGAATCCTCTTGTCATAATTCATTTTCTAACATGAAAATGGATGAAAAGCAATAGTCTAAGACACTAACAGGTTTTTATGAAATGAAAGGTGTAGAAATAAGGAGCGTACAAGGATAACTTTCTAAGGAAGGTCTCAATTTCTGCTCCAACTTGGTTCCTTTTGTGATTGATTTCTTCCCCAGACTTCCTCATATGAAAGCTGTGGGTATGCACCAGGAGAAGCAGACCATGATGCTGATGAGAAGAGCGCCCTCGCCTCCTTCAACCTGGAGAGAAGGAAGATGGAGGACAAGATCCTATGGGACTTCCCAGATATGGTTCATGAGAATGCCAAGGAGAGGAAGTAACTCAGATAGATGCCAGTCCTCGCCTCCGTCACTGAGGAGGAACAGTTTCCAAGATTGCATGAGGGATCCTCGTCAGAATCTTAGGCATTGATTCACAAAAAGGCAAGGAAAGGACTCAGTCTTCTCAGAGATGCAGTTCCTTGCTTCCACCTTAGTGATGGAGCAAGTTTATCTGCATTTGTACACTACTCAAAGGATCATACGTAGTTGATTAATAATTTAAACAAATGGTATTCACATGGCAAAAAATGAGCGTCATTTAATTTGGCTATTTTCTGGCATCAAAACAAGAAACGTCCGCTACAGAGTACTGAAGTCTCACAACACTGGAAAAAAAACAACTTTGGTCAGCACCTTGTCCAGGTCGTTTACGGCCCCGAAAATGATGTATAAAAAATTGGATTTTAACCAAGTCATGTGAGGGCACTGTTTATGAGTTAGAATGATATTGCAGTAATGTGGGGGCCCCGTTTATGAGTAAGAATTATATTGCAGTAATGTGAGGGCATTGTTTATGAGTAAGAATGATATTGCGATAATGTGAGGGCTCTGTTTATGAGTTAAAATGATATTGCGGAATGTGAGGGCGCTATTTATGAGTTACAATGATATTGCAGTTATGTGAGGGCACTGTTTATGAGTTAAATCGATATCGTGGTAATGTGAGGGCATTATTATGAGTTACAATGATATTGCAGTTATGTGAGGGTACTGTTTATGAGTATATTCTGGTAATGTGAGGGCGCTATTTGTGATTCTGAGTCTCAGAAAGGAAGCACTTTGAAGATGTATGTATCTTGGCATGAAAAATTTACACGTAACTGTTGATGTAGGGCTGGATAGCTCAGTTGGTAGAGCGCTGGTACGGTGTTCCAGATGTTGCAGGTTCAAATCCTGCTCCAGTCAATTTCTTTGTTCATTTTTAGAAGTTTTTCCTTGGACAAAATTCTATGTGCATTTTGTATTTTCCAACTTGTACATCCACATTGCCAGAGCATTAGAAAAAAGTCTCTCACTTAAGATTATCACAAAACTGCAAGTCCCCAAATTGTTGGCTCAGTACTGAAAGGCCATTACTGCAAAAATGTAATTTTTGAAAACACTCTAAGGGCCTTACTCTGTGCATGAAAGAAATATTTGATTTAAATAGTTTTTTAATCTTTAGTCATAAAACTTTTTTTGAGGGGCCATCATGCTTAAATTTTAACTAATTTGGGATCACAAATTAATGTCTAAAACAATGTTTTTCACCAAACACCTTTTAGTGCATTCTAATTAGGCCCTTTAAGCACTGACATGAAATTTGTTTCATTTGAAAATATTACCTTGCAAAAATGCTTTGTGTGTAGGTGAAACAATCAAACCAGTCAATTTCTATTTGCAAGTGAAATAAATGCTCATTTATTTTAACTAGCAGAACAACTTGTTTGTATATGTATGTCTATTTGTAAAACTATAGTATTTTGCCACTTGACCCTTCTCCTAATCTGGACCATTTTTCACTGCCAGAGTTTAAGGTATATCTGTTTCCATCTTTAGATTTTACATTACAGCCTCATCCTACATGGAAGCCCTGCCAGTCTGAAACATCTTCCAAGCTCCTTATAGAATGTTCCCTCTTAGAGCCTTTAAAGTCTCAATTTTATAAGGGCTACAATAAACCCAATAGCAATATGGAACA